GCTCTCTCTCTCTCTCTCTCTCTCTCTCTCTCTCTCTCTCTCTGTGCAGACTTTTTGCCCATCGTGTGCCAGCAATGCGGCCACACATTCTGGTGTGCAGTGCCAACCTCAGTTGTAGTGTTTCATCGTGCTTTGCACCACAAGCGGCGCCTTGTCTGCCTTGTCTGCTGCCTTGTCTGCTTTCGCAAACGCCTCACCGCCACCTTCTTTTCGTGCTGTTGCGTAGTCAACACCATGCCAGGCCTGAGGCACACGAATGTGCGGCTACGGTCGCAAGTGCTCCAACACAGGCCCAAGCTCAAGGCCAAGCCAAGCTACAGCCACAGGTACACCTCCAATGAGTGTGTATGTGTCTGTGTGTGTGTGTGTGTGTTCGTCTGCATGTGTGTTCGTCTGCATGTGTGTTCGTTTGCATGTGTGTTAGCCTGCATGTGCTTGCCTGCGTCGGATATTCATATCTGCAACACCTCCCCCCCCCCGCGTGGTTCACCATGTATTGTTCACTCAGGAGCTGTGTGACATGGGCGGGTGCAAACTACCGCGGGCAGCAGGCTTCTTCTGCCCACACTGCAAGCTCAGGCTATGCGAGAGGTGAGCCACGGGCATCGTTCTGTTTGTTTGCATGCTTTCCCTCTCATCTCTTGCGCTGGAGTGCGGGTGTTGCCTGTCCCATCATGTTGATACGCGCGTGTGCGTGTGATGGGATGTGATGTGATCGGGCCTCGTCGTGCGCTGGCTGCTGCCACATCCTTCAGCTGTCGCCAAACGTTGTTCTCATGCTTGGTGTGTTGCCTTTGCTTGACTGCAGCCACCGATTTCCAGACCAGCATGGCTGTGCGGAAGCGCAGAAGCAGGCAGAGATGCAACGGGCACAGAAGGAACACGCACGCAAAGTCAAGCAACAGCAGCAGGAGGTGTGTGCTCTGTCCTTGTCGTGGATACGATGGACGTCAGTGGCAGATTGCCACACCCTCGGCGTGCCCTTTGAGACGCTGTGCTCCTGTACGCTCGCACACATGCACACAAATGAACTCAACCCGCGGCTGCTTTGTGCTCGCGCCGGCTGTATGCATGCGTGTGTATACGTGTGCGTGTGCATTGCAGGCTCAACGCAAGGCGGCATCTGTATCTGCGCGCAAACTCAAGACGCGCACAAGCGTGTCCACGAAGATTGTGCTGATGAAAGCGCGTGGCCTGGCAAAACCGGTTCGCGCGGGAATCCCGGCAGCGAAGCGGCGCCTCGTCCTCCTCGCCATTGCCACAGCAGAGCCAGACGCACGTGGTGATGGTGATGGTGGTGATGATAATGATGGTGATGGTGATGATGGTGATGATGAGTCGGTGCTGACCAGCATCGCATCACAGCTGCACTGTACGCACGTGCATCCCTGCTTTGCACACGTCGACAGGTCCCTAGGTACGTCGCCACACGTGTGTGTGTGTGTGTGTGGTTGTTTGTTGTATACGTGCATGCGCATCATGTGCGTGCGCACGCGTGTGTATGCAATCGACTCGACCTCCTTCCTCATCTTCCCCAACATACCTCCCCCCCCCCACACGCCCTTCTCACCCCGTACTTACCTTCCAACACGCCTGCAGCGGATGTGGTGGACGCGGCGCGGCCGCTGCTTGGTGGCGTCAGTGCAGACCGCGTGCGTGTGTTCGACATCACCCCGCCCGCCAGCAGCGCGAAGGCGGGGCCGAAGACAGGCGGTGGGGTGCGGCCACAAGGCGAGGGCAATCGTAGTGGTGGTGATGGTGATGGCCGCGGTGGTGGTGGTGGCGGCGGCGGTGGTGGTGAGGTGAGCGCACTGCCGATTGCGACCAAAGTAGGGACGAGAGAGGAAGGGTGTGTGCTGCTGGCCACAGTGACTCCAGCGGCAGTGAGCAAGCTCACGCGTGAACAAGCGCGCACTCTGGGCGAAGAAGCACTGCACTGTCTCATGCATGCAAAGAAGAAGAAGAAGACCAGCAAGAAGGCAAAGGCGTGACGCTGGATGTCATGTCGTGGCAACAGCACAACACAACACAATACAAGGTCAGGGCAACACAAGGCGCCTCTCGTCATCTGACTGACTCATTAAACGAAACGAAAGCAGTTCAGCAACGACGACAACCGAAGATCATGCGTCCTGTGCTGTTCTTGGTGGTGGTTGGCGTGGTGGGGCTCGCTGTAGTTGGCAGTGGCGTGGCGTGGGCCCACGACGATGACGTGGTGAAGGTGGAGCACGCCCCAGGCCAGCAGCAGCCTGGGATGGCAAGCCAGGGCGTGGAGGCAGAGACCTGTGCTGATGGTGGGGACGACCGGGCAACATGTGGCGCGAGTGCATCAAGCGCCAGCGTTAAGGATGCAGCAAAGTACAGCGACACTGCTGCTGCTGCTGCTGCTGCCAACGCTGAAGCTGGTACCGAAGCTGAACCTGAGCGACCTGCTGCCGAGACCGCTGATGGAAGAGCTCAAGGCGCAACAAGCGACAAGGAGTCGTCCGAAGCAAGCGTGGATGAAGCCATGCGCAAGCTCAAGCAAAGGTACACGGGAGCGCATGCGTGCATGTGTGTGTGTGTTGTTCACTGCGTGAGTCAAGAAGCACAGGAGGACATGGCTCGACCACGCACTCATCATCACCTTCCTTCATCATCCTCCTCCCCGCCTTGGCAGGCAAGCGAAAGGAAAGATACCCCAGACGGCCATCATCGTCCTGGGCATCATCGGCATCATCGTCTTCAACGTGTACAAGGTGTCTGTATGTGTGTGTGTGTGTGTGTGTGTGTGTGTGTGTGTGTGTGTGTGTGTGTGTGTGTGTGTGTGTTTGCTTGCGTTGCGGACTGCTTGGCCTGTGCCACGCTGCAAGCTGTGGACGCTCGCCGTGCTTCGTGCACACCCTGCGCACCTGTACCCTTCTGTCCATCGCTCACGTGACACTCATGTGCGCCGATGCTCATGTGCGGTGCGCAGGTGTCGTCACGGCTGCGTCAGCGACAGCAGGAACGAACCCAGCAGCGTGTGAAGCAGAAGCTCGCATTCAACAAAGGTGCTCCCTTGCTTGCGTACTTGCTTGCTTGCTTGCTTGCTCGGTTGGTGTTGTCTAAACGGGACGCGTGCACACACGCACACATACACACGCAAGCACTCACACATGCACACGCACGCACTCACACATATCCGCACGCACGCACTCACACACATATCCGCATATACACGTGTCTCCTGGTTGCACTTCTTCGCAGAGCGGGAGAACGCACGCCGGCTGTTGTCGGAGAACGAACGCAAAGTCGAGCAGATGACACAGTACGTTCATGTCAGGCTCTATGCGCCCGTGCATGCGACCAGGTTGTGTTGGGGAACATTGGGGGTGTGCTCTGTGTCATCTGACAGTAACAATTGGGTTAAGAGACTCATGTGCTGTTGTTCTTGGCTCTGGTGCTTCCAGGATGCTGGCAGCGATGCAGAACAACATCTCACGGGAGTTGCGAAACAGGTCAGCCACATGAAACACGGCACACAACACACAAAGGAGCGCCTGCGAGCGCACGCGGTCACTCACATACCAGCGCGCGCGCACACACACACACACACACGCACGCATTCACTTGCACTCACTCTGTCCCGTTCATGTGCTCGTTGCGTGTTGCAGACAGCGAGCAGTGGAGACGCTCACCGAGTTCTCAGCCATGTACGTCAACATCACATCCATCACACACACACACACACACACACACACTCCATCACACACACACACTCCATCACACACACACACACACACACACACACACACACACACACACACACACACACACACACACACACACACACACACAAAACACAGGCCAGCATCAATTCATTTGCGTGAAAGCACGATGGTCCACCCTAATGCAACCATGTCTCACCCATCCTCATATGTGTGCGTGCAGGCGAAAGCGCAATGCTGAGCGAGAGACCACGTTCACGTGACACTTTAGGGCGGTGCCAATGTCAAACGACACTACACTCATCGCTCCACTGCAGCTGCGAGTTGTTGCGAGGGCTGGGCTGTCGCGAACACCGGCCCCTGCTGTGTGATGGTTGTGATGCGGTGCCTCTACGCCAACGTCCCATGAGTCTGCATGATACCGCTTGCTTGCCTCGCTTGTGTTACATATATCTCTTCTTATTGAACTGGCAAGCAGTTCACGTGCTGCTGTTGCAACCCTTCGGTACACAAAATGAACACGCGTATGTGCTAGACACGCATAGACAGGCAAGACAGACAGACAAGACAGACAGACAGGTAGATGCGCATACACACACATGCGCACAAACATACATACACACACGTGGACGAGAGCGGCGAATACCGCGGCTAGCGGACTACATGTTCTCTGTGCTCCACTTGTAGGCCTCCTCTGCGCGTGCACGCCGCTTCCCCTGCGACGCAACCAACTTGCGCTCAAATCCGTTGGAGCGGTCGTGCCCGTCCCACCGGTGCCCTGGACACACACGCACACACGAACACGAAGAAAAGTGAGGGTGGAATGGATTGGCAATCAGCTTCCAAAGCACACACACACACACACACACACACACACACACACACACACACACACACACACACACACACACACACACACACACACACACACACACACACACACACACACACACACACACACACACACACGTGTGCCCGGGCCTCACGGTGTTGCTGCGACTGACCTGGCATGATGCCGAATCTGTTTGGGTCTGGGGCGGGACCACGATAGGTTGGACGCAGCGGGCGACCGGACGCGCGGGCCTCTTTCTCCTTTTTCTTCATCATGTACGCAGCCATCGGGTCGTCCGCGTGGATTCGACTCTGCAGCTCCTGCCCCCACAAGCAGCGCACGCGCATCATGGTGAGTGGTGGTGGTGGTGGGGTGTTGTTGGCAGTCGTGGCACATGTCAAACATCACAGCAGCAGTATCAGAAGCAGTCGCATCAACAGGAAGACGCGGGAGATGGGCACGGCACCTTGTTGTAGTCCTCGTCGTCCTTCGTGCGGGCGAGCGGCCTGGACGCTTCGTACGCATCCTCCTCCCGCTTCTTGCGCGCCGCGTCCGTCTGCGCCAACCTGATGGTGGTGGTGATGGTGGTAGGGCGAGGCAAGGATCAGAAGTGAGGGAGTGAGAGAGAGTGTGTGTGTGTGAGTGTGTGAGTGAGAGAGAGAGTGTGTGTGTGTGTGTGTGTGTGAAGGTGAGTGAGTGTGTGTAAGTGAGTGAGTGAGTGAGTGTGTTTCTAATTGTGCGTGTGTACATCATGCAAACCGTCGTCATGCCACAAGAGCGCATTGTATTGCATGCGTGTGCACATGTGTGTGTGTGTGTGTGTGTGTGTGTGTGTGTGTGTGTGTGTGTGTGTGTGTGTGTGTGTGTGTGTGTGTGTGTGTGTGTGTGTGGTCGTACCCCCTGCCCCATTCCATGTGCTTCAGCTGCTTCTGCAACAGCTCCTCCTCTGCTTGCCGCTTCTTCAGGCGCTCCAATTTCGGATCCATGCGCCGCCCGCTGCACGCGCGGTGATGGCACGCGCAGTGGTGGCACGCAGGTGGGAAATAAGGAGTCAAGCGGTGAGTGTCAGGGGAAGCATAGATTGCCTGGTGCAAGCTCTGAAACGCCATGACACATTCACACGCGCACACATGCACACACGTGCACAGCAGGCAGTTGGGACACGTTCCACGACGGCATACTCTGCTGTTCGATGGATGGTTTCCACGGGCGCAGACTGACGCGGCGGCGACAAATCCCGACTGCACACACACACACACACACACACACACACATGTACACATGTACATACACACACACACATGTACACATGTACACACACACATGCACGTGAGAGGTAAACATGATGGTGAGGTGCGTGGAATGACTGCAAGGGAGGACATGAATGTTTGTGAATGTGTATGCTTGTATGTATGTGTGAGTGTGTGTGTGTGTGTGTGTGTGTGTGTGCATCAAGAGGAAGCAGCCAGTGAAGGCGGCAGGAGCGCTGTGGTGATGGCAGACATGCGTACTCGGCAGGGCGGCGCGGAGGGCTGATGTCGCCGCCAGCAGCGCGACGCGGCGGAGACGCATCGCTGGAACCGCCGCAGCACACGTGTGTGTGTGTGGGGGGGGGGAGGACGCGGGGTTTGGAGGGAGGGAAGGGTGGAGAGTTGCGGGTGGGTGTGGGATGAGTGGAAGTCGTGTGTGGACGTGTGAGAAAAGTGCTTCCTTCGAGCACGCAACCATATTCATTCGCACTGCAGGCGTCACAGTGATACACGCTTACACACACACACACACACACACACACATGTACACAGACTTACACAGACTTACACACACATAGGCTTACACACACACACACATAGGCTTACACACACACACACACACTCACACGTAGGCTTAGACTTATACACAGACTGACACACACCTGTCGCTGTCGTGTCTCCTTCGTCGTGGGGGCGAGGCATCACTGGTGTCGAGAGAAAGCCACAGCACAGAAACAAATCATGAGCACCACGAGAAGCTTGTCGCGCAAGCTCCACATGTACACGGCACACGCAGACACGAAAGTTACTTGCACGGTTACCCGACGCATGCACTTGCACACACCTATCACTGTCGTGTCTCCTTCTGCGCGGAGGAGAGGCGTCACTGAATAGAGACACGAAACCACCGTGTGAGCGTGCTTGGAGATGCCACAACACAACAGCGAACATCATATCATACGTGGTTGCAACAACATGCACATGCACACATGCAAAAATACACAAGTACATGCGCATGTACACATGCACACACACACACACAGATACACAAGTACGCGCATCCCCACCCAACACAAATACCTGTCGCTGTCGTGTCTTCGTCGTCGGGGAGGAGAAGCATCACTGCCATTCAAACAATGCCAAGCAATGCGCATATGGAAAGCATAGAGTGAGCACGGTCAGTGATCGAGGTGAGTGGTTTGTGCAGGCGTGCACACACGTATTAGCGCGTGCACTCACTCGTCAGAATCGTGCCGGCGCCGTCTTGGCGGTGACATGTCCATCTCTGCAGCTGCAACCCTATCCAACACAGCACCGTGCATCAATCAGGGCGTGAGCGGGCACACATGTCTTGACTGCCCCTGACAACAGGCACTGGCCCTTTCACAACCTTCGCTCGACCGCACACACGCACACGCACAATCATGCCATACACACGAATGCACAAGCGTGTCATACACACGCATGCACAAGCACGTCAGACGCACGCATGCACAAGCATGTCATACGCACGCATGCACACACACACCAAAGCACACACACCAAAGCACACATCGACCCACCTTCGTCCCCTTCTTGGCATGTCCAAATCGTCATCATCTTGCTCAAGCGCTGGCTTCCACTTTGACGCGGCTTTCCTCGTCGTATCGGGTGCAACCTCTGCAGTCACGTCTGCCGTTTCGTCCATACCAACGACCATGGGCCGGTCCTCGGCGTCCAGCGCAGCCATGTCAGGGTCGGAATCGTTCGTTGGGATGGCATCACCATCATCCACGACAATCTTCAAGCGCTGCTCCTGCTTGCCTTTATCCTTCTTCCTCCTGCGCTTCTTTCGCTTGCGGTCCTCCTTCCCTGCTCCAGCGCCGCCGCCGCCAGCGCCGCCGCCACTGCCACTGCTCGCCACTGGCCCGTATCGGGCCGCCAAGTACTCTGCCATCGACGACGACGACATGGCTACAACAGTGCTCACAGCACAACAGCACAACAGCACAACAGTCACCAGTTGCGCGTTCGTTCGTTCGTATCGGCCTATAAATAGGCCAACAGGCAAGAAGGACACCGGATACACGACGCCACTTCCAGCGGCGTTGCTGCAAGTGAAGCGAGCAACCACAAGTACAGCAGCCACACCAGCACAGCACATACGGGCAGGGTGCTGACGCTTGTTGTTGTGCCGTGTTGTCGTGACAAGCACTCGCACCCACCAGCCACCCAGCACAGGCAAACAACGGCTCGCAGACACACGCAGGCATTTGTTAGCATAGGCTCATCTACAGCCCAAGCGAGCGAGCGAGATGCGGGTGCGAACAACGCTGGTGGCGCTGGTGACGATGGCATGCTTGGTGGTGGCTGGCTTCCTCTTGACAGTGTCACGCTATCAGAGGGCCCCGACGGATGCATGGCTCTTGACCACAACCTCGGACGTCGGCAGTCACGCCAACCTTCACTCTGGTTTGAGGCATGGCAAAGAGGAAGGCCGCGAAGCAGGAGCAGGGGGATCGGCAGCTACGACAACGACCGTGATGCACGCAACCACATCGACGCCAGTCCCACTGCCGCAGGATGCGGGCGACCAACCCAACAGCCCCGCCCCGCACAACGGCAATGTCAAGCGCATCTGCGGCCCCGGTAACACTCCCCTCACCCACATCAAGTACATCAAGGTCCGCATCATGTGATGTTAACCTTGGGCGCGGATGCGATTGCGGATTGATGCTGCTCTGCAGTGTCGCGCATGTTGTGCTCTGTGCATGTGCATGTGTGTGTGTGTGTGTGTGTGTGTGTGTGTGTGTGTGTGTGTGTGTGTGTGTGTGTGTGTGTGTGAGTGTGTGAGTGAGTGTGTGTGTGTGTGACTGCACATCTTTGTGATTGTGTGTTGATGCGCACCTTTGTGAGTGCGTGACTGTGACTGCACATCTTTGTGATTGTGCCTGCTGTGCTTTGCATGCGGCGATGACGCAGGCAGGACTCACTCGATCCCGTGCTCGATGCCATGCTTTGTTCACGCTTCCCTGCAGACGCACAAGACAGGGAGCAGCACGCTGACCAACATCTTGCACCGCTTTGGAGTCAAGCACGTCAGTGAGCTGTGATCTTGCTCATTGATCGTGCTGTGCAAACACGGTGTTTTCTTCTGTCTTGCTTGTGCTGTGGCACAACGCACGCGTGTGATGCGATGCACTCCCTCCCTATCCCTTTCTCTTTCCCTTGTACCGCTGCTCCTTTCTCGCCACAGCAGTTACCTCAACATTCGTGTGCACACGCGCCTGTGGTGCTGCTGAACAATGCTGCCTGCAGGATCTGAAGATGGCACTGCCAAAGGACAATGTGTTTTACGCGTGGCCGCAGGGAGACGAGCGCTCCATTCCCGCGTCTGTCGAATCCATCAAGGGCAGTGCTCCCCCCTATGATATGCTGTGCAGCGCGCACGTGCGCTACGTGAAGCCTGCGCTGGAATCCGTCGTGCCAGGTGGCACATATGTGACTGTCCTCCGCCGGCCGACGTCACACTTCATGTCGTCGTGGTCCCACTGGCACGTGTGGGAGCACATCATGCACCGCGGTGGTCCAGAGCTCACCCCAGACCAGTTCCTACAGGTACGTGTGTGTGTGTGTGTGTGTGTGTGTGTGTGTGTGTGTGTGTGTGTGTGTGTGTGTGTGTGTGTGTGTGTGTTTCTGTGTGTCTGTGTGTGTGTTTGTGTGTTTGTGTGTGTGTGTGTGTTTCTCTGTGTGTCTGTGTGTATGTGTGTGCCTGTGTGTCTGTGCATAATTGTGTTCACAATTGCATCCGATTATTCTCCAGCACCACCCCCCCCCCCTCACAGTCACCACCACCACCACCACCACCTTCCCCACCACCTCCTTCCCCTCCTTCATGGCGAGCAGGGATTTGAGCAGTACCAGGGGTATCTTGGCTTCGGCGACCGCATCTTGCTGCTCAACAGCTACGCATACGACCTCGGCATCAGCCACCCGACACCCGGCAACATCCAGCAGGTGCGAGAAGAGGTGGTGAGGACGGCATACTCGTGTGCATGCTTGGAGGTGTGTGTGTGTGTTTGTGTGTGTGCGTGTGTGTTTGTGTGTTTGTATGTGTGTGTGTGCGTGTATGTGTGTTGTTGTGTGTGTATGTGTGTGGTTGTGTTTTCGCAGATGCCAGCCTTTGGTGCAGTCTCTCATGTGTCACCCTGACGTGCACTGCAGCTCATCACGGAAATGGAGGAGAACTTTGGGGTCGTCTTGATCACGGAGCACATGCTTGAGTCCCTCGTGCTGCTGAAGCGAACGTACGTCCACATACACGCGAGGATGGTGGACAAACATGCAACGACATGCACACACACACACGCGCGCACACACACACACACTCTCTCTCACTCACACTCTCACTCACACACTCTCACTCACACACTCTCACTCGCACACTGACACACACACACACTCATTCACGCACGACGAAAAATCACATTGTTTGGAGCACAGGTTGTGCTGGAGTCTGGAAGACGTGTTGCATCTTGGGCTGAAAGTCTCCAAGCAGAAAGCAGCCGGAGCAACAGATGCCATTGCCGAGCACAGGTGATGATGGTGACGATGCTGGTTGGCGGGTCAGTTGGATATGGAATAGAACCATGTTTGCCGTCGTGTGTTTGAAGATCGGACCTATGTCCACGCTTTTGCGTCCAAACACTCACCCGTGCTGCTGTTGCCCTGTGAATGTGTGCGTGTGTGCGCGTGTGCGTATCCATGTGTGTGCACGTTGTCAACAGGCGCGAGTTGATCCACGAGCTTGACTGGGCAGACACGCTGCTGTACGACCACTTCAACCGCTCCCTCTGGCGCCGCATTGAGCAGGAGGACGGATTCATGCAGGAGGTGACCACACACACACATACACATGCACTACACACTGTATGCTGTGTCTAGCACGTGCGATGTGTTGTTGCGGGTGAACATCAGGGTATGTGGGGAACACATTCACGTGTTCGTGACCCATTCGTGTGCGCACGTTGGCTACCACAGCGTAATGGCTTTGCTCACTGCTGCACCTCACCCCCCCCATCTTTGGTGCATCAGGTTGAGGAGCTGAAGCGTCAGGTGCAGGTGTGGTCGGAGAGGTGTGCACCCCTCCAGCACTACGACGAGGATGCACACAGGGTGCGCACGTGCATGTGTGATCAATGCGTGATGCATGATGCTCGAGCGCTGTCGCCAGTTGCGTCTGCGGTATTGGCAGCAGTGAGCTTTCTTCACGAGCACGAAGATCTATGCGCGCACACACGCACACACGTGTGCCTGCACTAGCGTACGACCACACCACCTCCACTGTTCAAGTCTGATGGCTCGATGTCTCACCGCGGTCATGGGTCCGTTTGCACGCAGGTGTTTCTTGAGGAGCGACCGAAAATTTCGGACGAGCAGCGTCTCTGCCACTACATGTGGCTCGACTCAAAGGGTGCGCACTTGCAACATTAATATGTGTGTGCGGCGTGTGTGTGTGTGTGTGTGTGTGCGTGTGTGTGCGCGCGTGTGTGCGTGAGTGCGGTGTACAGTTTGTGATACCTGGATGTATGCGATCAACGCTGATGTGACGGTTATGGCTCCAATTGCATGATGCTTGTAGGTTTTGTGAAGCACTTGAAGAAGCGAGAAGGCTACCCAATTGAGAAGCTCGAATGCTGGGCAACACACGCTAACACAAAGGTGCGTGTGTACGTGCACCAGGTGTGTGCACCTGGACACTTTGGCCGCCGTTCGTCTGCTCACCAGCACAATTGCCATGACCGACCACGATGGACAGATTATGTATCTTGTGACGGATCACCCGGCCGATGACGCCGCAATGAACGTCATCGCGCAGGTCGTCGGCGGATCGCGTAAGCATCAACACACACACACACATGCACACACACACATGCACACACATGCACACATGTGCACACGGCATTCGCACACGTTCACGTACATGTGCACACTCATGAAAACACCTCTTGTGCCATGTTCTTGTGTTTGTGCAGGCGGGCGCGTGGCAACAGCTGATTATTCGCAGGGCCCAGACACCTCGCACCTCCCAGATGGCAGCCTCCTTCCCCCGCCAAACCACATCTTCAGGTGACGGCGCTTGCTTCGCTGTTGTGCTTTGGTTGTTGCTTTGTGTTTCGCGTGATGTGTGTGCTGTAAGTTGTTCCTGCGTGTTTCCTTGCGTGCATGTGTGTGTGTGTGCGTGTCCAACGACATGCCACTTTGCTCCCCCGCACCTCTACTCCACATCAACATCAATCTCTACAGTCGCTGCACTCTTACCCTCGGGACCCTTACTTCGCATTCAATACTCCTACGAATGTCTCTGTGTACCACTTTGCAGATCACCAGCATCGACCGCTTTTATGATCACGGGATTCACACATACACGGTGCGATATTCCTGGGTAGCGGCGTGTCAACCCTCGTTTCGTGTGATTTGTGTTGTGTGCGTGTGTGTGCGTGTGCATGTGTGTGTGTGTGTGCGTGCGTGTGTGTGCGTGTGTGTGTGCATGTGTGTGTGCGTGCGTGTGTGTGCGTGTGTGTGTGTGTGTGTGTGCGTGCGTGTGTGCGTGCGTATGTGTGTGTGTGTGTGCAATTATTGTCCCCATGCACATGCATCAGTCATCATTCATTTCACTCACGTGTGTCACTTCACCTTGGCCACTGCCGTCACCGCGCACACACACACACACACACACTTCATCCTACAGCCCCTTCATGGACAGAATGCACCAGGGACTCATGTTCATCGCAACGTTCAGGTGCGCGCACGCACATGCGCAAACCGTGAACACACACACACATACACACATACACATACACATACACACACACATGCACGGAGAACCGCATGATTGTATGCAGTTGCACTAGCATGCACATTCTTTTCACAAAATCATCACTCCAAACTTATGTACCTTTTTTTTTTTTTTTTTTGTTGGCCCCCTCCCGCTCGTCTTCCTGCTTATCCTCCAATCACACGTGCAGGGATCCTGTGTCCGAGTTTTTGGACACGTGGACGCGTCTTGACATGCCTGGACGCATGCGGAACATTGATCCGCAAATCCCATCGCCGCTGGACTCCTTCCTTGATGATCCGGACCACTGGCTCCAACTCCTCCGCAACGTATGCGCACTGCCGTGATTTGCTTCGTGTGCATCATGAGCAAGGTCAATGCACGTATCACGCAAGCTCACACGTTGATGCACACCCATACACGTTGATGCACACTCACACACATACACTCACACACACGCTCACACGCGCATTGTTTGCGTTACTACAGGAGGATGGCTTTGATTACGGGCACCACCTCTTCAACCGCAACGCGTACAGAATGGGCGTGTCCAGAAGTCCAAACAAGCACGAGGTGCGAATGGCACGTGTACAGCTCGTCACGACACGACTCGTTACATCTTGAAGTTGTTCACTGCTATCTGTTCATTACGGTTTCTTTTCAGTCCGTGTACCCATTTCCTAACTGGCAAACACACACGAACACACACATACACATATACACTACACACATAACAAATACACACACATACACACACATACACACACACAAACCATTGATGTCAGATTGACGAGGCAAAGAAGCATGTGCTATGGTTTGCACTCATCATGATCGCAGAGAAGCCAGATGAAAGCATGGTCCGTGCAAGTTTGTGTGTGCGCGCGCGTGCGTGTGTGTGCACATGCGTCCAGCAACAAGCCTGGTGTACGACGCACATTCTTCACTTCACCCTCGTATGCATCTGTGCTCTCACTCACTCACACACGCACACACGCACGCACGCACACACACGCACGCACACACACTCACACACGCACTCACACGCGCGCACGCGCACCACATCACCTCCTGGCTGTAGGTGATGCTGCGCCGGACGGTGTGCTGGACAATCAAGGACGTCATCAACTTTGACATGGACCAGTGGAAGGCATCGACCGCTTTTAACGTGTGTGCATGTGTGGTCGTGCCTGCAGCTCCGCAATCCTTTGCGGTTCTTGTCTCAAGTGCTTGTGCTTGTTAACGCATGGCCTGTCCCTTCCTCAATCCTCACAGCCATGTTCATGCCAACCATCACCCCAATTGTGCTCGTTGCCGCCGCTGCTGCTGCTATCATGATCCCATGATGATTACGCTCATGCTGTGCGGTCTGCAGGTGAAAGACCACACGACGCGTGATGAGCTCATGATAACGAAGCGCATTTATCAGCTCAACTGGATCGACAAGACCTTGTATGATCTTGCAAGCAACGTCTTCCGCGATAAAGTGGCAAGACAGGTGGGTTCCCGTCCCATGTCACTGGTGGCACTGTGTGTGTGTGTGTGTGTGTGTGTGTGTGTGTGTGTGTGTGTGTGTGTGTGTGTGTGTGTGTGTGCGAGACAGTGTGTGTGTGTGTGCGAGACAGTGTGTGTGTGTGCGAGACAGTGTGTGTGTGTGTGTGCGAGACAGTGTGTGTGTGTGCGAGACAGTGTGTGTGTGTGTGACAGTGTGTGTGTATTTGTGTGTCTGTGTGCATGTGTGTCTGTGTGCCTGTGTGTATCTGCGTTTGGCACTCCATTTCCTGGTAGTGTGTGACGCGCATGTGTGTGTGTGTGCAGGTGAGCTTCAAGGAAGAGTTGCAGCTCTATCACGAACAACGCACCGCCCATCTCGCCGCTTGTGAGTGCACCCACATGGCGCTGCGTGCCTAGCCATGTGTGCATAAATGCGATTACACTGCTCGCCTCGAGGGTGTGGTGTCGGCATGCCATTGCATGTCATTTCTTTCCACCAACCACAGGCGGCAACTTGTTCACTCCAACGCCCAAACACACGCACGCACACACACTGACACGCTCATTCACATTGCATGTGTGGATCACCAGGCGAGGCGCACAAGGACGAGTCGATGGCTGCGAAATTGGTGGAGACAATCCTGCATCCCTCCCGCTGCCACGTCATGTCACGCACACGCGACGAAACATTTGCAGACGTGTCCTCATCAGCATCAGAGCCGTTCTCGCCTCCACCGCACCCGTAAACGCGACACACACAATCACACAATTGCACCACCCCCACGCTTCTTGTCGCCTTAATCCCCCATCTCTCTCCCTCTCATTCTCCCATTCTCTCTTCTGACTGTGTGTGTGTGTGTGTGTGTGTGTGTGTGTGTGTGTTAACTTGGGTCCGCCACATCCCTCCTAGCTTTGGTTTTGGTGTACCCCCTTCCACTGCGCCTGTATGCCGTGCTCTTGCTCGTCGTGGACTTTGCTCGCGTGCGCCCACACATTTTGTCCTTTGGAACCTAATCAGTATCAGATGTGGTTTGCTCATTCATATGCGTTCGAATGTGTCCGTGTGTGTGTGCGTGCGTGTGTGTGTGTGTGTGTGTGTGTGTGTGTGTGTGTGTGTGTGTGTGTGTGTGTGTGTGTGTGTGTGTGTGTGTGTGTGTTCTTGTGTCGTCTGCCTGCCTGCCTGTCTGTGATATCGTGCCTTGCCTTGTCATTGCAGTTGTTCGTGGGTAGCTTCGGTTATGAGCTCGAATGTGTACACAATTTACAAGAGATAGATATGTGAACACGACCACGTGACACACGCACGTTGCTTGCTCACATGCAAGCCGACCCATGTCTGCAAAATGCACACAGCTGCGCCAGACACAAACACAAACACACACACACACATACACACACATAGCGAAGCTGGCCCTTCCTTGTCGTTAGTTGGTGCGCTGTCGTTGCCGCTGCATGCGCATCCACCTGTCGATATGAGCGAGCTTGGCTTCGAGCTTGGCCACGGCCACATCGACATGTGTTGTGTCCAGACAGAACCACGCCTCCGACGACCGGCACAGCGCAACCGCATCCAGCACGTCCGGTGCGATTGCGTGGGTGATGGCTGGCGGGCAGCACTCGGCGACGGCGAGCATGCACGTGCACGCATGGGCGAGTGGCAGGGCAAGGCACGCCGCAACCTTGCCTGGGTTGGTTGACGACACGCCATACGACACCTTCACGGCAGTGGCAATGTGCATGCGCGCACGCGACTGCGACGGCAGCGTCCATGGGCGAGCAGCGAGGCGTGGATCGGCCACACAGCGCGCCGTGGCATCTGCAATGTCAACAAACAGGCTCGGGTCAGCCAGCACCGCCAAGCGAAGGACGGTAGCCACCTGCGGCGTGCTGAGCGCATTCACCATCAGCAGCAGGTTGTCTGCGTCGGGAAACGGTGTGAACGTGTTTAGGTAGGCGCGTAACTTGTCCAGCTTGCGCTGCATTGCCTTGGCCTTCTTCCCCAACAGCAGCCAGTACTCGCAGTGGCGCGCAGAGACCACAGCGTCCTCCAGGGCCTCGCACAGCACGCGCGCACCGCCCACATCAAAGCGCACGAGCATCAGCGCAGCGTCGAGCAACGGCAGCACAACGTCGGCCAGCCCCTCACCGCGCACACGCTGCCTCTCGTCGTCAAACTGGTGGCCGTGGTTGTGGCGGAGGCACGAGATGGCGCTGGTCAGGGGCGCAAGCAGCCGAGCAACGGCTTTGTGCGGATCAAAGTGCCGACGAATCAGGTCTGCCCACGATGGCAACAGTGGCGGTGGCGATGGCGGTGGTGGACGCGATGGACTGCAAGACCTTGGCCGTGACGGTACTTCTGTCATTGGTGTCTCCTTTGGTACCTTTGTTGCTGGTGGACGGTTCTTGATTGGTTGCATTGTGTCCTCGGAGGTGGGTGGTGCAGGAGAGGTCAGGCAATCATCACTGATTTGAATGGCAGGGCTGCATCTTACACGCACCGCTTCTTCCTTCTCCTTTCCCACAACGGCATCAACACCATCAGCGTTGCTGTCATCATCTGCAGCATCATCCCGGTCATCATCATCATCATCATCATCATCATCATCATCATCATCATCATCATCATCATCATCATCATCATCATCATCATCATCATCATCATCATCATCATCATCATCGTCGTCGTCGTCGTCGTTGTCGTCGTTGGCGTCATCGTCGCGGCGTGTGTATCGACGCTTGGCCTGTTGTCGCTTTTGGTTGTGCTGCTCCCGATGCTGCTGATGCTGCTGCTGTTGCTGCTGCTGTTCTTGTTGATGCTCATCCTGGTCGTGTGTTGGTGCAATGCCGTGCAAGGTGCGCATGGTTCGCCAAATATCGGGCCAGATATGAAGGCAGTCTGGCCGCTCCAGAATCACAGCGCGCAGGATCGCGCGCGCAACCAGCTGCGATCGACCATCAATGTGCAGCGAGAAGCGAAAGCCAGTATACCGCCCTGGCTGTGGCACTGGGACTGGAATGGGCGCGAAAACGGTCGCGTGTGCTGTGTGGCGGTGCCGCCGTCGCCGCTGTTGTTGCTGCTGCTGCTGTTGCTGTTGTTGCTGAAGGAACTGCTGCCCGAGCTGGTCAAAGGTGTCAAGCATGGCAGCAACAGAGGACACGCTGCTTGCGCCGGTGCTTGCACCTGCAGCGACTTGTTGAGCGACGACTTGAAGCCTCTCCTCAAGGTGCGTCCGCTCTGTGTCGTAGTTGAAGTCATCCGGTGTGAATGGCGTCTCTGGCAGCACAACGCCACCGCTGGCGAGGCAGAAGCTCATGTGCGAAGCATCAGCACGGTTACTTGCACGGACGACAGCAGCGTCGTCTGTGGTGCCGGCAGCGTCACTGTTGGCAGTGCTGCAACTGTACGCGCCACTGCTGCGTGGACGATTCGTGTTGATGAAGGCGGCCAGCGCTGCGGCCGTTGGACACCAGATGACATCAAGGGGCCTGGTGGTGCTGTGTCGAATCTGCTCCTTGAGGGAGCCGAGCTGCTGGCAGACGAGGGCAAAGTAGGTACCGCGCTGCGTGGTTGTGCCGATAGCGGAGACAAAGTCGCAGTAGAAGCGCACGAGCGTGTGCGTGTGTGCTGACCACTGGGAGAGCACGGTGCAGTGCCGCCGCGGCGGGCTCCTGGGCGCTCTTGGCCGGGCGTAGCAGCGCGTGACCAGCGTAAATGTCCCTGAGCCGTCGTCCACGCCCAGCGCATGCACGAGCAGCATGCGTGACTGCAGTCTGCGCAGGGACGCCGCAGAGGCTGTGGCATCTGCGTGCTGTATCAGCCACACGGGGGAGATGTCCGGAACGGCTGTCGACAGGAAGCGTCGAAGCACCTGCAGCACATATGTATCCACTGGTGCGCATAGTGCCCTCATGGCACCTGTCGATGAGGTCCGCGCTGCAGTCCGCGCTGCAGTGCCTTGTTCCCTCTCCATCCCCACAGCATCTTCTGCGCTCTGCATGCGGACCACTGGTTGTTGTTCTTCTTCCCCATCATGGTCATGCTGGTCTTGTCCTCCTCCTCCCCTCATCGCGCCACTGGTGCGTTCTCCTTGTCGTTGTCTTGTTGGCACATTCGTGCAAACTGATTTCAGTTGCACTTGCTCCCCATTGACAACACACACAACGCTGACAAACAACACAAACCCTTCACCAGCCAGACACCCAGAGAGACACGATGGAGGTGGAAGGGGTGACCACAACGGCGTTCTCGTCGGATCACAGCGATGGCAGCAGTGGTGCCGATGATGAGTGGGAGGAGGAGGATGGACTGACCTTTAGGAAGCGGCACTTGCCATGCTTTGATGAAGTGTATGGCAAGCCAGAGGCCTTGGAGCACGCACTGCACCGAGAGACCTTGAACGGGCAGCCAATCCACGCCGTGCTGAGCTGGGCGTTGCCACAGGCAGCCGATCTCTGCTTGCTGGCCATCGATGCCTCTGGCTTCACGCTGTCACCACAAACACGCCAGTACCTTGAGACGTCCAGCACTTCACATCGCACCACCACGGATAGTGACAAGCAGCACGTCCTCGAACTAGCACACAAGCGGCGCTACTTTGAGGCCGAACTCACATGTCAGTCAGTGGCTGTGATTGTGAGCAGGAGGGAAGGGACTGTCAGTGTACAAAAGGCGTGGGCCACACGTTGGCTACGCTTGCATACATGCTCCCCACGTTGATGCCTTGACCGTTGACTCACGCTCACACGTGCGCGCACGCACATCCATGTATTCTCAACAACCATACTCACTCTCACACACACACACACACGTATGTTCAACAACCATGCCCACTCACACACACACGCACACACACGCACACTCACACACACACACACACACACACACACACACACACACACACACACGCACGCACGCACACATGCACGCTCATACAGGTGCACCGCTGCAGCAGCGAATTGAGGAGCTACAACGGCAGACGAACCGATCTTCTCGCGAGGAAGAAGAGCTGGCGCAGCTCAAGACGCAGGTGGAGAGGAACGCAGTGGTGCTGGAGTACGAAGTGGACGTGTGGATGCGCGTCGTCTTTGTGAAGATGCACGTGCCATTCACTGTTCGCTGCGCAGTGGCACAGAAGCTGCAGCTTATGATGCCGCTGAAACGCAGCATTCGCCTTGCCAGGCGCAAGCGCAATGCCCTCCTCGACACCATCGACCCACTGAACATCCTCAACCGCATCGGGCGCAACCGCGTGGGCCCGGCAGGAGAAGGCAGCACCAGCGAACGCCCAACGACATCTCGGCTTCGACGCCGTACCGTATCCACGCTCGCCGTGAACAGTGCCATCAACGAGCAAGACGCCGCGTTCCTCATCTTGGACGAGGACGACGAAGAGATTGATGAGTCGCAGGATGAAGAAACTCTGCAGGAAATTACAGCGGAGTTCTCGTTAGTTCGTGCATCTGCGTTTCGCAATTTCAGCAAGCCCGACTTGTTCTTCACACCCGCACAGAACCTTCGGCTTACCCGACAGATTCTGCTGGAACGGCCGTTCACAAAGAGTGTCCGAATTGCCCATGCCGCTGACGGCAACGCAACGAACCCGCTCCAGCACCATCAGCAGCAACAGCAACGGCGAGGGCAGCGAGCAGCTCAAGTGAACATTCAGGTGGAGGAGGTTCATGGTGGGTCAGGGCGCGGGTCGCCGGACCAGGAAGGATCAACCAGTCCTGCCGACATCCAAGAAGAAGAGTTGATTGCCCACGCATACCGATCGCGTGGGTACCAGCTGCTTGTTGCTGACGGCGCGTACTCCGCCGTATTCCCGCTTCACGACACAACAGCGGCAACAACAGCAGACAGTGACGCGACAGAGACGTCGGCAGCACCGACGCTCGACGCAGCTGTGGCCGAGGATGAGTCACGTCTGCTGTCCTCAAATGGTTTGCAGATTGAGCGGTCGCACAACCCTTACGCCAACCTCTGGCTCAAACTTGTTCTCTTCTGGAGCAACTGGCGAAACTGGAGGTGCGTGCGTGCGTGCGTGTGTGTGTGTGTGTGTGTGTGTGTGTGTGTGTGTGTGTGTGTGTGTGTGTTGTGTGTGTGTGTGTGTGTGTGTGTGTGTGTGTGTGTGTGTGCGTTTCAGATGCTTTCTGCTGTATGGCGGTGTGAGTTCCCCTCGCCTCTTCCCTCACCTTCCCCCTGCCCTCACCTTCCCCTCTCAACCTCCCTTGCTTCAACCATTGCTCTGCATCTGCTGCAGGCACCACCAGCCGTTGCGACTGGTGAAGAACTACTTTGGCGAGAAAGTTGCCTTCTACTTCCTCTGGCTTGAGTTCTACACAACGTGGCTGGTGGCCCCGGCCCTGCTTGGCTTTGTTGTTTTCTTCCTTGGCTTTGCTCTGCAGGCCAACCGAACAGATGTGAAGGAGTATTGCGCGAGCAACAAAACCATGTGCGCTGTCTGCTCCTCCTGCGATCAGTTTACTCTTCAAGAAAGCTGCAACGCCTACAAGACCGGGTGCGTTGTTGGTTGTTGTTGTTGTTGGTGTTGTTGTTGTTGGTTGTTGTTGGTGTTGTTGTTGGTTGTTGTTGGTGTTGTTGGTTGTTGTTGTTGGTTGTTGTTGTTGGTGTTGTTGGTTGTTGTTGTTGTTGTTGTTGTTGTTGTTGTTGTTGTTGTTGTTACTGTTGGTTGTTGTTGTTGTTGTTGTTGCTGTTGGTTGTTGTTGCTGTTGGTTGTTGTTGTTGTTGGTTGTTGTTGCTGTTGGTTGTTGTTATTTCTTCAGGTTTGCCACATGGGAGTTGCACGGCACGTACTTGCTTCGCAATGGCTCACACTGTACAACATACACATGCACGCCCGCACAACATACCGTAAAACCTCCCACAACGTCAGATATCTGTTTGACAATGGGGCCACGGTTGTGTTCTCGCTGATCATGTCTGTGTGGAGCACACTCTTCCTGGAGTTTTGGAAGCGAACGCAGAACCGCAAGGCGTACGCGTGGCGTGTCCGCAACTTCGAGGTGCGTGCGTGGGCAACTTGACAGGTCACATTGTTTGTTCTCGGTTCGCTTGAAGTTCAGAGGGTATTACTTGCTTCATTATATCTCCACGTCACTCACGTCATATCGGCGTGTGTATGTGTGTGTGTGTGTGGGTTTTTTGTCCTCTCTCTATGCGTGCGTGGTGGTGCAATCCCCTACTCTCGTCATTCTGTGTGGTCGCTTGTGTGTTTATGTGTGCGTGCGTGTGTGCAGGAAACGGAGCCGCACCGCCCGCAGTTTCGTTCTGAGGGCGTGAAGACGGATGATGTGACAGGGCTTCCGAAACCATTCTTCCCCTTCAACAAACGCCTTCGTCGCTACATTGTCTCCTTTCTCACTGTCACCGTCATGCTCGGTGCGTTGTGAGCCGGGTAATAGTGTTTTCATGTTGTGCAAGTATGTGTGCGTGTGTGTGCGTGCGTGCGTGCGTATGTGTGTGTGTGTGTGTGTGTGTGTGTGTGTGTGTGTGTGTGTGTGTGTGTGTGTGTGTGTGTGTGTGTGTGTGTGTGGGTGGGGTTTGAGCGTGAGTGCGTGCGTGTGTGTATGTGAGTGCGTGCGTGCGTGCGTGCGTGCGTGTGTGTGTGTGTGTGTGTGTGTGTGTGTGTGTGTGTGTGTGTGTGTGTGTGTGTGTGTGACTCTGACAGTAGTTGTCAACACTGGCGGATGTGCTTTGTTCTGCACTGTTGTGCGCCTGCAGGCATTGTGATTTTGGCTGTGGTTGGTGTGATCCTCGCTCGAACGGTCATCCGCACCAGGCTCTATGAATCATCATCGGAGGTGCAGTTGCATGCAAACGTCCTCTTTTGTGTCATGCCTGCTCCGTGATGCTGTTGGTGCTGATGGTCGCGTTGATGGTGGCGGTTGTTGGTGCTGTGTACTTTGCATTGCTGACGTCCCAACACATCTCTCTCCCTCTGTCGTGCTGTCTCACTTCACTGCATTCTTACACGGACAACCTTGATATTGTTGTAGAGCGTGAGCAAGGCCTCGGGTGCCATCACATCTGTTATTGGCGCTTCCTTGTCTCTCTTCATCATTCTCGCCCTCGGAAAGGTCTGTGTGTGCGTATGTTTGTGTGTTTGTGTGTGTTTTGTAACACCATCATTCGAGCTGCCGCCATTCGGGTTTCTCGTGAAGGGATCGTGTCAATGCATGGCCAGAAGCACACGCAAGTGGCTACGGCAGCCTCCGCATATGTGCTGTACTCAACGCACAGCCTCCATCTCATCTTTTCGCATGCACGTGCTCGTACATGCACATGTGCTGGTCTGCTTCATGTCCAGGTGTATGCACGAATTGCGCTGACCTTGACGCGCTGGGAGAACCACGAGCGTGAGAGCGAATTCGAACGGGCGCTGGCCATCAAGGTGTGCGTGCGTGTGTGCTGTGCGTGTGTGTATGTGTGCGTGTGTGCACGTGTGTGTGTGTGTACGTGCGTGTGCGTGTGTACGTGCGTGTGCGTGTCCATGTGTTTGTGTATTTACGGGGTACGTTGATTTCATGCGTGCATGGCTTCAGTCTGTTTCAGATGCGATATGGGTCGGCAGCAGATCAGTGCTTGTACTCATTCATGTTGCCTCACGTGTTGCTTTGGTTCAGGTGTTTTTGTTCGAGTTTGTCAATAACTTTGCATCCATCTTCTTTGTTGCCTTCTTCAAGGTATTGATGTTGCAACACGTTCGTGTGCGTGCGTGTGTGTGTTTGCATGTTTGGGTACGAATGTGCGTGTGTGTGTTTGCATGTTTGGGTATGAATGTGTGCATTTGTGTGTGTGTTTGTGTGTGTGTGTGTGTGCTTGCTTGTGTGCGTATGAGGACGAGGGTTCGCGACGATAGCCAACCATCTATTTCCTTGTGACTGACATGCCCGCTACGTGACGCGTGCTGTATTGTGCAGGGCCAATTCATTGGTCGCCCGGGCAAGTTTGTTGAGTTCTTTGGCTATCGCCAGGACGCGTGTCCCGAATATGGCTGTCTCATCGGTGCGCACTTGTGTTTTCATCACGCCTGCCTGCAATTTCGTAGCCGCATCACTTGGAGCGTGGCAGAGGTGGATGGGGATGGGAGATCTGCTTTCTTGGGCGTCGCGCTGGTTGTGACATACCTGGCTGATAATCGCCGCCACACGTACACACGTACGCATTCTCACTGACGCGCGCACATGATTGTGCACACACACACACACACACACACACACGCACGCACGCACGCACACACGCACACGCACACACACACGCACACACGCACACGCACGCACACACACATGCGCACACGCACACGCACGCACACAACTATACGCCATGTCTGCAGAGTTGACGATTCAGCTTTCTGTGATTATGGTGGGCAAGCAGAGCATGGGCAACGTGAAAGAGGTTGTGATTCCTTACCTCTTTGGCGTGTGGAAACGATGGAGCCTTGCTCGTCGCATGCTGTCTGTGATCAAGCAAGCTACAAACACCGCAGAACATGGCAAGGATTCCAGCACCGATGGCGCGGGTCATGCCAACGACGCGCAATCCTCCTCCGCAGCCATGTTTTCGTCGCCCCTCGCTGTTCCGCAAACGGTTGGCCAGGACAAGCCCTTCAACAAGATCCTTCCGTGGGCGGTGCAGTACGGCTACACGGCGTACCCAGGCCTCTTCAGGGAATACCTCGAGGTGGGCAACGCATCGGGTGTATGCGTGTGCGTGCGTGCGTGCGTGTGTGTGTGTGTGCGTGTGTGTGTGTGTGTGTGTGTGTGTGTGTGTGTGTGTGTGTGTGTGTGTGTGTGTGAAAGCGCACAAGCGTGCGCATGCATGCGAGTCTGCTTTCTTGTGTGCGTACGTCATTCACCGCTTCGTTGTGCTGTTGTCGCTCGACCGCTCACGCGTGCTGCTTCGTTTCCCTGCATGCCTCTGCTTGCCTGTAGATGATTCTCCAATTCGGGTTCACCACTCTGTTCGTAGCGTCCTTCCCGCTGGCGCCCATCTTTGCTCTCCTCAACAACATTGTTGAGATTCGCCTTGATGCGAAGAAGCACATGCACGTGCTGCAGCGCCCATTTGGCTTTGTGAGTGCGCGCTTGCTTGCTTGCGTGCTTGCTTACATGCTTGCTCGCATGCACGCTTTGTTGCGTTGGGGTTCGTGCATGACTCCTATGCGCGTGCTTGTTCTTCGATTCTTGATCCTCACGCTGCTGCGCTCCTTTTTCTTCCCGTTGTGTTGTGTTTGGCTATGTTTTGTTTGTTGTTTGCATGTGACAGGGTGCGGAGAACATTGGCATTTGGCAGCACGTGTTGAGTTGGGTCAGCATTGTTGCCGTGATTACAAACGCCTTTGTCATCGCAATCACCTCCAGCTTCATTCCTCGCTATGGTGTGTGTGTGTGTGCGTGTGCGTGTGTGTGTGTGTGTGTGTGTGTGTGTGTGTGTGTGTGTGTGTGTGTGTGGTGTTGCACGTGTTTTGTTGGTACCTGTGCTTGTTTGTACATCGTTTTTCAAGTACGCACGTTCAGTCCATCATCCTCTTTGTGAATAGCTTGTTCCTTGTTGCTTTTGGCCCACACTACAAGACTGCGTTTGTTTCCTTGTCTTTTCCATCCCACAGTGTACACGCGCCTGAATGGGGATCTGGCCGGCTTTGTGGACGCCAGCCTGGCCAAATCACCCGTGACAGACCCAACGTCCAACCAGGTGTGCGCATGTGCCCTGTTTTGATTCTGCCTTGTGCGTCGGCGTGTGTTGGCTCAGCTGCTGCACTGTCATGCACCTCTCATGCTTCTTGTTTTCCTCAACGCTTGACCTTGTGTGCAATTTTTAAAAAGTTTGACTGCTACTATTCTGGGTATCGCAACCCCGATGGAAGCTATTCCACCTTGCACTTTCAGATTATGATGGCAAGGTGAGAAGATACGGGGGGGTGTGTGTGTGCGTATATGCGTGTGTGCGTGTTTGTGTGTGTGTGTGTGTGTTTGCGTGTTTGCGTGTTTGTGCGTGTGCGTGTTTGTATGTGTGTGTGTGTTGGAATTGAGCTTCTGCTTGGCACAAAGCGCCATTTCAGCTGCTTACACTCAGTCTCGCTCCTGCTCACATGTGGCCACGTGCACACATGGACAGGTTTGCCTTTGTGCTCATCTTCGAGCATGTTGTGTACACGTTCAAGTACTTGCTCAGCCTTGTCATCTACGATGTCCCCAGCGACGTGGAGATTAAGATTCGCCGCGAAGAATACCAGGTACACCGCGCTACCGCGTTGGCTTGCTTTTCGTTGTGTGTGTATGTGTGTGGCTGCACCTCCGCGTGCTGCCTGTGTACATGCCTCTTTGCAACAACCTGCACGGCGCTCCATGATTGCTTGTGCCACTTCCTCACGTCCTTGGTTGTGTTGTCTGCTTGCAGGCCAAAATTGCCCTTGACCGAGAGCTTGCTCGCACTGCCCGCCACAAAAAGAATACCTGACTGCCAATGGAAAGGAAGCCTCTGGGAGAGCTGCTGACTTTTTCCTTCCTTGCTTGTTTGGTGTACCATACAAACCCACAAACACAACGCCTCCTGTCTGTTCCCCAGTCATGATCATAATAAACGCACCACCCAGAAACGGAAGCCCCTGCAATCATCCAAATCGCGCTCGTTGTTGCGCTGTACTTGTCGAAGCCATTCGCCACCGCCTTTGTATCGAAAACAACTGATTTCAGTCGAAAACAATGTCACAAAAACTATGTGTTACCGCCTTAATTTATTCTTCCTAGATAGGACCGGACATTGAATAGTAGCTATGTAATTAACAAAAATCGCAAGGCACACTGTGCGGGTTGCGTCAAAGTGACGAAGATGAGAGGTTGGTCGCGTACGCGTTGCTTGCCACCGCTGCCACGGCTTGCCGCTGCTCGCTGCGCAGCTACATGCGCAGGTAGGCCGACCATCAGCTGAGCTGTCATTTTTTTGTTTTCACTTCTGCCACTGACCCGTGCAGCCGCTTTTGATCGCCTTCTTCTCGAATCCCGACCGACAAACAACAACACCTTCCCCCCTTCCCCCGACAATGGATCAGCGCCTGATTGCCATGCACACCCGTGCAACAAGCATCTTTGTGCAGGCAGATCGCGATGAGAGCGGCTGGCTGTCCAAGAAGGAGCTCAAGCGTGCCATCCAGGGCAACGACGATATTCGCTTCGACCTGCGCACTGCAGGTGGTCGCCCATGGAAGGACTTCTGGGCTGAGCTCGACGTTGATGGCGTAAGCTTGTGTGTTTGTGTTTACCTTTGCGTGCCTGTGTGTTTGTTTGTGTTTGTGTGTGTGTGTGTGTGTGTGTGTGCGTGCGTGTGTGTGTGTGTGTGTGTGTGTGTGTGTGTGTGTGTTTGTTTGCGTGCATGGCTTGCATCGTTTTGCTTTTGCGACCCGTGCTTGGTGCGCCTTGTTGACGATGACAAAGTTGTAATGAACGTTCAGCCGCCTCGAACACACATCTCCCTCCCCAACCCTTTACTCGTCTCACACGCGTCCCTCGCCCGCTGCACTTTTCCTTCCCGCTTTAGGATGGCCGTATTGAGCTTGACGAGCTCATCAACTACGTCACCAAAGTTCTTGTGGACAAGACTGACAGCACTGTCAGGTCAGTCAAGGACCTGGCTAGGGAGATCTTTGAGCGTGCCGATCGCGACGGCAACGGCGTGCTGTCCAAGAGGGAGCTGAAGCGTGTGCTGCACGAGGACGACGACCTGCGTGACGAGCTGCGTGCTGCTCACGGGCGCCACTGGAAGGACTTCTGGACCGAGCTCGACGCCAACGGCGTACGTTACAGCACGTGTTGGTGGTGTTGTTGGTGGTGTTGTTGATGGTGCTGTTGGAGGTGTTGCCGATGCAGATGTCTTTGAGGCTCACAGTGCTCACATACACACCACACGCACTCCTGACAAACGCAACACACACACGCACACACAGGATGGGCAGATTGAGTTTGAGGAGCTTGTGGAGTACATTGACAAGGCGCACAAGCAGCACGTGGACAATGCAGTTGCGTCGGCTGCAGAGGCCCGCAGCAACCCTGCAGCAGCTGAGGAGAAGGCGGACAAGGGCACAGATGAGACATCGACCGGTGGGGAGTCGACCGCCCGCACCGACGAGACGTTTGGGGAGCGGCTTGCACGCATGCGTGCCCACGTGCGCGACATCTTTGAGCGGGCGGACCGGGACAAGAACGGGTGGCTGTCGAAGAAGGAGCTGAAGCGTGTGCTGCACGAGGACGATGACCTTCGGTATGAGCTGCGCACGTCTGGCGGCCGTCCGTGGAAGGAGTTCTGGGCTGAGCTCGACGTTGACAACGTGAGTGCCTGCGCTGCTGCTGTTGTTATGTGCGGTTGCATGTGGCTGTTGTTATGTGGCTGTTTGTGTGTGTGTGTGTTGTGTGTGTGTGTGTGTGTGTGTGTGTGTGTGTGTGTGTGAGAATATGTGTGTGTGTGTGTGGTTGTTCTTGCTGTTATTCACTCCACTCTCACTCCACTCTTACGTCACACTCTTCATCACGCAGGACGGACGGATTGAGGAGAAGGAACTTGTTGACTACCTGATGAAGGTGCTGACGGAGAAGGCGTCGAAGCACCACGCGTCGCTGAAGGAGCGCGCGAAGGACATCTTTGAGCGGGCGGACCGGGACAAGAACGGGTGGCTTTCGAAGAAGGAGCTGAAGCGTGTGCTGCACGAGGACGATGACCTGCGCGATGAGCTGCGCACAGCCCATGGGCGCCACTGGAAGGACTTCTGGACCGAGCTCGACGCCAACGGCGTATGTTTGAGTCCTGCTCTTGTTGACACGTGTGCGCTGTTTGTGAAACGCCAACATCATTTGGCTCAACAAGTCTGTTTGTTGGCATCGTGTGCCTGTTGTGTTTCAACGCCGCTGCACATGCTAACCATTGGTATCGTCGTGACTCACTGTTCCCGGATCCTGTGTATCCGATATGCTTGTTCTCCTTGTGTTTCTGGGGGTGTGTGCAGGACGGCAAGATTACACTCGATGAGCTGGTTGACTACATTGAGAAGGCCGGCACGCGCCACGTCCAGGAGGGTCTTGAGCTTGTCCGTGCTTGAGGCAGCGAAGGCTTTGGGGATTCAAGGCTTCGACCCGAAATCTTCATGGTGACACCTTTGGTGTGCTCGTCGTCAGCAACATGAGCGATGTGAGCGCCGTCGCAAAAGCCGCCTTCACCTTTTACTCCTGCCCCCTGTTGTTTACTGTCGTCAGCCCCTGCAATTCAGCCTCTTACAACTGCCACCCAATGCCTGCCTACTTGCTTGTTTGCTTGCTTGCTTGATTGTGTGTGCGCGTCTTGTTTCCTTGCGCTTTCACGTGGTGTGCCATCGCACATTGCAACGCATATACAGCATCAATGTTGATGACCATCGTCTGTTCTCATGCTCCATCGTAATCACAATCACTGTCAACGCAATGAAGCAAAACCATCAACAACCTAGCTAGTAAGTGAATCATCACCACGCACACGCGCACACGCGCACAAGGAGCTGTCATCCGAAGCCTCCGGGCAGAAGCAACACTTGCCATCGTCATTCGCACTCGTCACCAACTCAATTCACTGATTGCAAGCAAGCAAGCAAGCAACAAAGAAAAAAAAATTCTGCACCACACACAAAAGGGTGACGCAGTGAACAAGCGAGCTTGCGTGCACACACCACCATCCTGTTCGTCGCGCCGACACAAGACCTTCGTGCCATTCACACCGACTACGACAAGCAAGCAACTAAGCAAAGCAAACACAGCAGGCAAAGCACCACGAGGCAGCAAAGCAGGGTCTCACAAGCACGGCAACAAGAAGGGAAGAACACAAAGAGTTGTTTGATTTGGCAGCGGCGATATGGACCAGCGCCTGATTGTACTGCACCGCCGTGCTTCGGACATCTTCCACGAAGCAGACCGTGACGGCAATGGTTGGCTGTCCAAGAAGGAGCTCAAGCGCGTCATTCATGGCAATGACTACATTCGTTTTGAGCTGCGCACCGCGGGCGGTCGCCCATGGAAGGACTTCTGGGCTGAGCTCGACGTCGATGGGGTAGGGGTCTTGCTTGCATGCACACATCTCCACCCATAGCAAACGTTGCACACACTGGGCCCGTGTACTTGGTGCTATGGGTGCTCAGCAGCGTGCAGGTGGTGGGATTGCCCGGGATTGCGTGCCTGCCAAGTCTTTCACCTTTCCCCTTCTCATGCCCGCGATTGCAATAACAACCCACAGGACGGAAAGATCGAAGAGCAAGAACTGATCAATTACCTTACCAAGGTACAAGTTGAAAAGACGAATGACTCCCTCGATACGGTCAAGGACTTGGCTAGGGAGATCTTTGAGCGTGCCGATCGCGACGGCAACGGCGTGCTGTCCAAGAGGGAGCTGAAGCGTGTGCTGCACGAGGACGACGACCTGCGTGACGAGCTGCGTGCTGCTCACGGGCGCCACTGGAAGGACTTCTGGACCGAGCTCGACGCCAACGGCGTACGTTACAGCACGTGTTGGTGGTGTTGTTGGTGGTGTTGTTGATGGTGCTGTTGGAGGTGTTGCCGATGCAGATGTCTTTGAGGCTCACAGTGCTCACATACACACCACACGCACTCCTGACAAACGCACACACACACACACACACTTTCTCTCTCTGTCTCTGTCTCTTTCTTGACACACACACACACACACACACACACACACACACACACACACACACACACACACACATGCACACACAGGATGGGCAGATTGAGTTTGAGGAGCTTGTGGAGTACATTGACAAGGCGCACAAGCAGCACGTGGACAATGCAGTTGCGTCGGCTGCAGAGGCCCGCAGCAACCCTGCAGCAGCTGAGGAGAAGGCGGACAAGGGCACAGATGAGACATCGACCGGTGGGGAGTCGACCGCCCGCACCGACGAGACGTTTGGGGAGCGGCTTGCACGCATGCGTGCCCACGTGCGCGACATCTTTGAGCGGGCGGACCGGGACAAGAACGGGTGGCTGTCGAAGAAGGAGCTGAAGCGTGTGCTGCACGAGGACGATGACCTTCGGTATGAGCTGCGCACGTCTGGCGGGCCGTCCGTGGAAAGAGTTCTGGGCTGAGCTCGACGTTGAAAACGTGAGTGCCTGCGCTGCTGCTGGTTGTTATGTGCGGTTGCATGTGGCTGTTGTTATGTGGCTGTTTGGGCCTTGAGTCCGTATCATTTTCTCTTTCTTGACACACACACACACACACACACACACACACACACACACACACACACACACACACACATGCACACACAGGATGGGCAGATTGAGTTTGAGGAGCTTGTGGAGTACATTGACAAGGCGCACAAGCAGCACGTGGACAATGCAGTTGCGTCGGCTGCAGAGGCCCGCAGCAACCCTGCAGCAGCTGAGGAGAAGGCGGACAAGGGCACAGATGAGACATCGACCGGTGGGGAGTCGACCGCCCGCACCGACGAGACGTTTGGGGAGCGGCTTGCACGCATGCGTGCCCACGTGCGCGACATCTTTGAGCGGGCGGACCGGGACAAGAACGGGTGGCTGTCGAAGAAGGAGCTGAAGCGTGTGCTGCACGAGGACGATGACCTTCGGTATGAGCTGCGCACGTCTGGCGGCCGTCCGTGGAAGGAGTTCTGGGCTGAGCTCGACGTTGACAACGTGAGTGCCTGCGCTGCTGCTGTTGTTATGTGCGGTTGCATGTGGCTGTTGTTATGTGGCTGTTTGTGTGTGTGTGGTTGTTCTTGCTGTTATTCACTCCACTCTCACTCCACTCTCACTCCACTCTCACTCCACTCTTACGTCACACTCTTCATCACGCAGGACGGACGGATTGAGGAGAAGGAACTTGTTGACTACCTGATGAAGGTGCTGACGGAGAAGGCGTCGAAGCACCACGCGTCGCTGAAGGAGCGCGCGAAGGACATCTTTGAGCGGGCGGACCGGGACAAGAACGGGTGGCTTTCGAAGAAGGAGCTGAAGCGTGTGCTGCACGAGGACGATGACCTGCGCGATGAGCTGCGCACAGCCCATGGGCGCCACTGGAAGGACTTCTGGACCGAGCTCGACGCCAACGAGGTGCTTGGTTGTGATCTCGTTCTTGTATTCTTGCTTGCTTGGTTGCTGCAAGAGGGTGAACACAATCCACATCTAACTCCTCCCTTGCTCCTACGTCCACTCGTCCCTGCTGCTGACGCAACGATTTTCTGCTGTTGCATTGTTGTCGACTTATTTTTTGCGCTGCCCTTCTGTTCACTGTGTCATCACCCCCCCCCCCCCACACACACAACACACACACACACACACACACACACACACACACACACACACACACATTCAACACATTCAGGACGGGCGGATTGAGCTACCCGAGCTGATCGCGTACATGGACGAGAACCACCGCCGCCGCCTCACCGCTGCGCTGGAAGGCGGCAAGCAACAAGAGGACAGTACACCAACGCGTGTTGACATGCAGCACAGCATGTCAGAGTTCAAGGACGATCGTGGGTACGATGTGAAGCGTGACACGACGGTGACAACCACAACCGCCGCCCTGCAGTCATCCACCACCACCACCACCACCACCGACTCGACAGTGACGTCTACCGCAACCACGCCAACAGACGCAGCGGCCACCCCTGCTGCACCGAGCGAGATGGAGCGCAAATTGCAGGCGCTTGAGCGGCGGGCATATGCGGCTGAGGCGCAGGTGCTGAAGCTTGAGGACGACCTGGAAGAAGCGCGGCGTGGCGGCGCCCGCGACGAGATCGAGGAGTTGCAGCGGGCACTTGCGAGGAAGGACGAGCGCATTTCAGAGCTGGAGGCCACGGTGGCGCGCCTGCGGGAAGAGGCGGCCCAGAAGCGGAGCGATGCTGATCAGGAGCGCGCCGTGGAGACAGAGTTGCGACGGCAGGTGGAGGAGGCGGAGAAGAAGGCGCAGCAGGCGGTTGAAGAGCGCGACCTGGCAACGGCCAAGATGCGCATGGTGTCGCAGGACTTTGAGGACCTGCAGGTGTCGCACGCCGGTGCGGAGGCGCGCGTTGGAATGCTGATGGAGCAGATTGAGGCTCTTCAGAGCCGCGTGGATGAGTTTAACGAGAAGGGCGAGGCCACAGCGGCGGCTACACAGGCGCAGGCAGACGCAGAGAAGGCGTGCAGCGAGTGCGAGGACAAGTTGTCCACCGCGCAGGCAGAGGTAGTGCAGCTGAAGCAGCAGCTGGGCAGCGTACTTGAGGAGCTCGCAGCGGCCAAGCAGAAGCAGGCGAGCGAGGCGGAGGCCGCCCTGCAGGCGAAAGATGACGAGATTGCGCGGCTCAAGCGGCAGCTGAACACGTGTGAGGAAGAGAAGGGCAAGGCAACTGAGGCGGCGGCACAGGCCAAAGGCGCTGGTGGCGAGGCTGACACGAAGCTGCGGGCGGAGCTTGACACGTCCCGTGCGGAGTGTGAGGAGCTGAAGCAAGAGATTGCGCGCTTGAAGGAGGCTGCCAAGGCGAAGACTGCAGCACGTGCACGCAAGTCGAGTGCGACAGAGCGGAAGCCCCGCGCAGGGCCGCGGCCGCAGAGGGCGGACCCGACCCACGCCCGCGTGTCGACCACGCTCAAGGATTCTGGCCTCAACGAAGGGGACCTGGTCTATCATGCCCCTGGCAAGTACAAGCTGCCTGGCCAAGACCACATTCTCAACGTTCGCATCGTTGGCAAGAACATCATGGTACGTGTATGTGTTTGTGTGTTGTGCCTGTTTGTGTGTGTTTGTTTGTGGATGTCTGTGGTGTGTGTTTGTGTTTATGTGTGTGGTGTGTGGTTGTATGTGGTGTGTGTTTGTATGTGTGTGTGTGTGCGTGTGTGTGGTGTGTGGTTGTATGTGTGGTGTGTGGTTGTATGTGTGTGTGTCTCTGTGGTGTGTTTGTGTGCGTGTGTGTCTGTTTTTGTGCATGGTGTCCTGTGCACCGCACCCCCCCCTTGCCCATTTCAATTGCACATGATTTGCGTTGTTTTGGTCTGACGGGATCGTTCTGGCTCACATGTCGCTGCAACCACACAACTATTTGTGCATGACACCCAACACCACAACAGGTGCGCGTGGGTGGCGGCTGGACCAAGCTGGAGGACTACCTCAAAGACCACCGTCACCACATTGAAGATGCCCGCGTTCGCTACTCCCTTGGCATCCACAACAAACGCAGCTCTTCCTCGTCATAACACCACACCACACCACACCCCACAATGAGCGTGGTGCACGACTGACTCTGCTTCCTCCACCTCCACCACCGCTCTTCCTGCCTGGCCTTGACGGTGCTTTGTCATCGTGCTGCGATTCTTGTTGATGTCATACATAAATGGTCGATGGCCTGGATTTCGTTGTTGCCAGAAAAACAAACAACCGCAACAAGAAACGGGTGCGTCGCACACTTACCGCCCTGAAGAAGCAAGCAAGCAAGCAAGAAGCAAGGATCATCACACCAGCCAGAAAGAAAGAGAAAAAGGAGCACCCACCCAGCCAGCCAGCCACCACGAGGCAGCGCGCAACAGCTCGCATTCTTCTATTGCGACTCGGTCAACCTTCCCCTACCCCCTCCCCTTCTCTCACCATGGCTCGTGCAGTCATGCGGTGTAGAATGGCGGCGGCAGTGACCATGGTAGCGCTGCTGTGCCTGCTGAGCAACAGCGCATCAGCAGAAGTCGTCCTGGTGAGGAACCACCGCCTACAACCACCTTGTTTGTGTTTGCGCGAGCACAAAGAGCAGGGGGGTGGGGTGGTATTCTGTTCTTCTAAGGGGAGGAAGGGAAACGGGGACGCAAGCACACAAGCATGCACCCCCATGAACGTGCGTGACACTCATATGCCTTCCTCGCTCGCTTGAATTGCGCCTCTGTGAATTGTGTATTGTGTGTGCGTGTGCGTGTGCGTGTGTGTGTGTGTGCGTGTGTGTGCGTGTGCGTGTTCTTTGTGCTGTGCTGTGCTGTATGCGTGTGCGTGTGTGTGTGTGTGTGTGTGCGTGCGTGTGTGTGTGTGTATTGTTGTTGGCCACATCACTGTCGCGCCATGCAGAGTTTGACGTCTGGCACGGTCCGGTTTCCGTCGATGGAGGCTGACTTTGGACCAAGCTTGACATCCCAAGGGTACACGGGCATGCTTGTGGTTGGCGTTCCGCGCGATGGCTGCGGCCCTTTGCAGCCTGCCGCTGCCAACGTCACCCAGTTTGTGCTGCTAGAGCGTGGTGGCAACCCAATCTGCGAGTTTGACGAGAAGGTGCGTGCGCGTACTTTGTGCTGTGTGTGTGTGTGCGTGCACTGTTTTGCTTTGTGCTGTGCATGTGTGTGTGTACTTTGTGCTGTGTGCATGCGTGCACTTTTTGCTGTGTGGTGGCACTACTCGTTTTCACGCCCACATGTGCACACGTTGATACACTTTGATGCACATTTGTCAGGTGTTACGGGCTGAAGAGGCAGGGTACAGTGCTGCCATCATCTATGACACGATTGATGAAGGGCTCATTGTCATGCGCGGTCGGCAAAACGTTGACATTCCATCCGTTTTTGTCACCCACTCCGCTGGCGTCATCTTGTCCCAACACGCGTGAGTATGCGAGTGAGTGAGTGAGTGAGTGAGTGAGTGAGTGAGTGAGTGAGTGAGTGAGTGAGTGAGTGAGTGAGTGAGTGAGTGTGCGTATTCTTGTGTTTGTGAGTGAGTGAGTGAGTGTGCGTATTCTTGTGTTTGTGAGTGAGTGAGTGAGTGTGCGTATTCTTGTGTTTGTGAGTGAGTGAGTGAGTGAGTGTGCGTATTCTTGTGTTTGTGAGTGAGTGAGTGAGTGCGTGCATGCGTACGTATTGTTGTGTTTGTTCGTGTGCGTAAGTGCGTTTGCGTGTGCAAGTGAGCGAGTGCGTGCGTGTGTGCGCGCGTTTGTGAGTATTCTGGTGTTTGTGCGTGCGCTTGTGTTTGTGCGTGTGCGTGTGTGCACTGACCCTAGCACTGCGCTCTTGTATGGCATGCAAAACACCATGCACTCATCATCAACCACATGCATCCCCCAAAATTGCTTCGCCCAATGAAGGAACAATGCCGTGTTGCTGTTGCCAGAGGATGTACCGCAATGGCCGTCGTTTCTTGTCACCTTTATCGTCATCATTTGCTGCGCCGTGTTCTTCGCCACCATATTTACTGTGCGTTGCGTGCGTGCATGCAAGTATACGTCCCTCCACATTCACATAGCTTGTGTGTATGTGTGTGTGTGTGTGTGTGCATGTGTGCGGCTTCTCGTCTGCAACAGCTTTCAACATCCCTTTTCACCAGTCACATTGTGTGCATATGTGCATGCGTGCGCGCGTGGTTGATTGGACTGTAGGTGTACCACACGCGCCAGCGCAACCGACGGGCTGTTGCTCTGCGCACACAAACAATGAGCGCATCCGAATTGAACCGCCTCACCACCCGCAAATTCAGATCAGGTGCGTGCGTGCGTGCTTGTATGCGTGTGCGTGTACATGTTTGTGTGCGTGTTTTCAAATGTGTATGTGTGTACGTGCGTATGTGTGCTTGTACGTGTATGTGTGCAAGCGAGCGTTGCAATGTGTGCATGCATAGCCATGCGTGTTTGTTTACACATTTCAAGCAGTTATGCCTCGCTGGTTTTGTGTCGCCTTGGCCTTTGCTCACACCCCTTGTCACTGGCCTTCATGCACTTCACCCTCATCATCACCGCCACTGCAGGCGACGAAGAAAACTCGTGCTGTATCTGCCTGGAGGAATTCAAGCCGGGTGACGAGCTCACAGTGCTCGTGTGCAATCACGGTCAGTCGCGCATGTGCTGTGACCGGGTTGGCAGCCGCTGTTATCGCGTTGCGGAAGCAACGCGCCCCTTGGCCCTCTCAAAACACACACACACACACACACACACACACACACACACACACTACACTACATACACACACACACATACATGTGC